TTTTTTTTTTTTTTTTTCTTTCTTGGCCCCTATTCTCAATTTTGCGATAGGTACTTTAACTCATTTTTGGTATGTAGTGCTGATAAAACACAGGGGTGTTTTATTTTTACTCTCCTTTTATATGTCCCTGCTCTGATGCGTAGCAAGGCCCGCAAAAGAAGTGACCCTAACCCTACGGTCGCAACTTGCCTTTTGGGAGGACACGCACCCCGACACGTGTAGAGGGGGCTGGGACTGCTGACGCGATTATATATTTCTTTTTTCTCACAGGAAAAAAAAAAAAAACAAAACAGGCCAATTTTTTTTTCTTTTTTCGTGTCACGTTCGCAAGGTGCGATCTGCACAACGACGCACATGTGGAAATGTTCTTCACTTTTCATGTGTGTTCCATGTATGTGGTTTTCTCTTTAATGTGTGTTTTGCTCTGCATGTGGGCATGCCCACGCTGCAGCTATGTAGTTTGTGTATACTTGGCTTTAACCCTCATTGCAGCGCTCTCCTTTTTGCGCAAAGGTGCAGGTGTACAACGATGTGCTATGTAATATTTTCCTGCATCCGTTTTTTCTTCTTTCTTTCTTTTTTTTTTTTTTTATGCTTAATCTTTCTATAAGAACTTAAGCGAGTTAGCGAAAAACAATTTTTACTTTGTCGTGATGATCAACTTTTAACCTTTCCGCATAAACACATCGGGTGAAGGTGCGGGGCCGCCCCTTTTTAATTAAACATGTAGCTTCCAGCAGTGTGCATACGGTTGTGTGGCAGGTATAATAATGGCGCTGTTGGTACATGAGTCCGCTGAAAAAGGTGTGATTTTTTTTTTTTTTTTTTTCTTTCTTGGCCCCTATTCTCAATTTTGCGATAGGTACTTTAACTCATTTTTGGTATGTAGTGCTGATAAAACACAGGGGTGTTTTATTTTTACTCTCCTTTTATATGTCCCTGCTCTGATGCGTAGCAAGGCCCGCAAAAGAAGTGACCCTAACCCTACGGTCGCAACTTGCCTTTTGGGAGGACACGCACCCCGACACGTGTAGAGGGGGCTGGGACTGCTGACGCGATTATATATTTCTTTTTTCTCACAGGAAAAAAAAAAAAAAAAAATACACTAGTAACAACAGGAAACATACAGAGAAGGTTGCATGTGATGTTTTCAGCAGGGCATTCTCGAAGGACCATATTTTTTTTTTTTTTTTTTTTTTTTGTTTGCGCATTTTTCCCTGTTGTGGAGGTAGCTAACCCTCGTGGTGAATTCGTGAGTGACGTGTTTTTCATGCCAAGTGGGAGTATATATATAATACCCCCGCCAATGGTAGTGTAAATATGAGGCCGACTTTTTTTTAATGCCCACCAGTCAGTGACAAAAAAAGGGGGAATCAATACAACGGGAATGCAAACAAGTCGATGGTTAGAAAGCATACGGACCTGGATGGTGATATAGTTTTTTGCTTCTTTTGTTTCTCCTAGTTTTCCACTTTTTTTTTCTTTTTTTTTTTTTTTTGCGTCCCTTTGCCCACGTCGGTGAGGTGAAGAAAGTACTACAAAGGAGATACCTGCCTAAGGACTTGGCCTATTTGACTAGTTCCACTTGATCTCTTCCAAAATGAGTCACTTAATGGTAAGGCCGCCTCTTCCGCAATGGGATGAAAGAGGGAGCAATGCGGCGGGAAACGTCGCAGTTAGCCCCACGCTCCTTCCCCTGCTAACGCGAATCCTTCTCACACGCTTCCTTTCCCCTATAACACTTCTCCACTGCAGTCGTTACCCATCGTGCTTCTGAAGGAGGGCACGGACAAGGCCCAGGGGAAGAGCCAAATAATTCGGAACATAAACGCATGCCAGATTATCGTGGACATAATAAAGACGACCCTTGGACCCCGGGGCATGGACAAGCTTATATACACAGACAAAGATGTGACAATAACAAATGATGGTGCGACTGTGATGAATCTCCTGAACATTTCTCACCCCGCAGCTTGCATCCTAGTGGATATTGCCAAATCACAAGATGAAGAAGTAGGAGATGGAACGACCTCCGTTGTTGTAGTAGCAGGAGAGTTATTAAATGAAGCGAAACAATTAATAAACGATGGTATAGAACCCAATATGATAATTGATGGGTTCAGAAATGCATGCACGGTAGCTATAAACAAATTGAATGACTTGAGTCTTAGGTTCGTAAGCAAAAGTGAAGAGGAAAAAAAAGAAATCCTAATTAAGTGTGCACAGACGGCATTAAATTCAAAGCTGGTTTCAAATCACAAAGCCTTCTTTAGTGAACTTGTAGTCAATGCTGTATACAAACTAGGAGAGTACATGGACAAATCTAATATTGGTATTAAGAAGGTGACAGGTGGTTCTTGCCTAGATACACAACTCATTTACGGAGTGGCTTTTAAAAAAACTTTCTCTTATGCAGGATTTGAACAACAACCCAAAATATTTTTGAACCCAAAAATACTACTCCTAAATGTAGAGCTAGAATTAAAAGCAGAAAAGGAAAATGCAGAAGTCAGGATTGATAACCCAAATGATTATAATTCCATTGTACAGGCAGAATGGGAAATCATTTTTAAAAAATTGAATTTAATAAAAGAAAGTGGAGCAAATATTGTGTTGTCACGGCTACCCATTGGAGATATAGCCACTCAGTTTTTTGCAGATCACGATATTTTTTGTGCAGGCAGAGTGGAAGATGCAGATTTAAAAAGAACTGCAAGTGCAACAGGTGCCATCATACAAACATCCCTCTTCAACTTGAATGAAAGTATATTAGGTACCTGTGGTGTCTTTGAAGAAATACAAATTGGTAATGAAAGATATAACATATTTAAAGAATGTTTGAAGACCAAGTCAGTCACCATTATCCTCAGAGGAGGTGCGAATCAATTCATTGAAGAGGTAGAGAGATCGATCAATGACGCCATTATGATTGTACTCAGATGTATCGGCAATTCTGAAATTGTTCCTGGAGCAGGATCTATTGAAATGCAATTATCCAAGCACCTTAGAATTTATAGTAGATCCATTTGCAACAAGGAGCAAATCGTTTTGTACTCTTTTGCCAAGGCTCTTGAATCCATTCCTAGACACCTCTCTCACAATGCAGGTTATGACTCAACAGACATTTTAAATAAACTCAGGAAAAAACACTCTGAGGAGACCAGCGATATTTGGTATGGAGTGGACTGCCAGGAGGGAGACATCATCAATGCGTATGAACATTGCATTTTTGAAGTCACCAAAATTAAGAGGAATGTAATTTACAGCGCCACTGAGGCTGCCTGCCTCATCCTCTCCATCGACGAGACGATAAAGAACCCCGCCAGCAACGCAGACAAGGGCCCGCGAAACCCATACGCATGATAATAGGGGCAGGCGTCGTGGGGTGGAACTCATTTTGTACACGTGCTGGAGACCCTTCCCATGCCTCTACCACACAAAGTTACACGCACGCTAACACGTGCGCTAACCCGTGCGCTAACTGATATGCATAGGCGAAACTATTTTTACGTCGTCGCCGGCACGCATGAACCTCTGTGCGGGAAGTGGAGACACAAAAATCGCTTCTTCCCATTCGTCAAGCTGAAGTGCAGTTTTGCGGCTCTACACTGTGTGTCGTCACTCGTGTTAACACTAATACAAAAAAAAAAAAAAAAAAAAAAAAAAAAAGAACCTTAAAGGCACTGTGCAAAAAGGCTTGAACCCCCCACCTGGGTTGCAAAAGCGAAAAAGGTGCAAAAAAAGAAGTCAAACACGAACTCAAACGCATACGCACTACAAACGCATACGCACTACAAACGCATACGCACTACAAACTCGTGGGATCTGTGAAAGGGGGACGCTTCCCCCTTCCGCGTAGGCATGCACGTGTAGCTGCCACATTTTTTTTGTTCCACCCTTAGGACCCCACCCTTTTACTTCCTATCTGACTCATCACTCGACTGATTACACTTGCCGGGACGTCCCCCGCTGGTTCGAGTTCCGCGTCAAGTGTCTTCAAGCGAGCCATGGGCTTGGAAGTGGAAACCGCAGAAGTACCTGCACTGTCTTTATTATTCTTCCTCCTGGGGGGAGGAGGGGTTTTGTGCCTCTCCTCCTGTTGCAACCTGAGCCTTCCCACTGCACTTCTCATTCTCGCTTGTGCCTTTTCTGTTCCGTGTACAATTGTCGCGCACCCATCCACGTGAACACGTGTTGATTTAAAAATCACACTAAGGTTGTCCATCCTGGTTGGGGAGACCTCCCTTCCTTTCTCTTCTTCCCGAGGAAGGTGGTCCTCCATTAGGGAACTTCCTACGCAGTTTTTTCCTTGCGTCTGCAAGTGGGTCTCTTTCTGGCTCTGCTCACCTGTGTGTACTCTGTTGGTACGTTCTTCTTCTCCCCCATTGTCGTCACCACGGGTTAAGGCCGCCCCCGGGGTAGTCCACTGAGCTTCATTCAAACCTCCCTTCTCACCATTTGTTGTGGCACTTTCCCCTTTATTCTGAACGCAACGTGGGTTCACCTCTACTAGCTTTTCCCCCTTCACATCGCTAACCAGCTCCATCTCATTCTTCCCACTGGCACGTTCTCCCTCTGGATCTGCATTACGGGTTCTATTCCCCCGTTGGTTCAGACATTCAGCAGTGTTATTTGCTTTCGTTTCTACCGTGGGGGAACTGCTCTCCTCGGTCAACCGCTTCCCCTCAGAGTAGCTGTTTGGTCGAGTAGCCGGCTCAGCACCACCCACTTGGTTCGCATCACCACTCGTCTTGTTTGCCCAATCCAGTCGACGCAGAAATTTTGTAACTTCATCATTGTTCAGTAGTAACTCTCCCGTGTGGGCTAATGTCTCCTGCAGATCATTCACTTTTGTATCTCCCCCTGTGAGGTCTCCTTCCCCCTTGCCATGAATCAAATGCATACAGAGTCCATCTTCCAATACCTCCACATCTGTGTTTGTCTTCCTGCTCGACACGGACGTAGCGGTCGAATGGAGGAGGACCTGCCCACCCACTCTGGTAGCTACTTCCTCCGTGTAAGGTTCTCCTTTGCCGGTCCCACCACATGCATCCACCATGCCCCCTTCCATCTTGGGCGGACTTTCCACAGGGACACTGCTTAACATAATACCATTCTTCACTCCAAGTTTGTCACAAGAATTCCTCACAGTGGTGAAATGAGAAACGTGCGCGCTATGATCACCGTTGGGCTTTTCCCCCAAGTGCTCATTCGCGTGCTCTCCAACGTTGGTTCCTTCTTCACCACGTGGAGCACTAACTGGAATGCCACCAATGAAAGAACTTCCCCCTACCGCATTTACTTGTGCATCCCCATTCGCGTAACAACCCGTATGGACACCTCCACCTACATTCACCCCCTTCATGACCTGCATCCCGTTACTGTACATCCCTGTGGTGTAGTCCCCATGAGAAAAATTAGAACCCACATTCAGTAGCATAAAGTGTTGCTCCTCATGCACTACATTAGGCTTCACAGTATCGATATTTACATCTGGGGGATTTGTGTTTCTTTTTTTTGAATGGACCCCTGCCAAGGTGTGTAGTCTAGCTCCGCTCACTCCTTCCTGTGCAAACACCTTCCCATGGGAGGTGTCAGTTCGGTGCGACTTCGTCTGCGGCGGACTCGTTTCCGGCGGCCCCGTCTGAGAGTGTCCCCCCCCTATTGCATCCTCCCCCAGCGCACTCGTGGGAAGGCAAAACGGGTTGATCGATTCTATACTACTGGACTCAGCGCACATGTTCTGGTTGCACTCAGCTAGTGCCATCTCGTCATTATAATCTGAACAGTTTATCTGACCAGGAACAAAGTCTTCAATTTGATACTTGTTCACATGTTGGTTATACTCCGGGTCGTCCATCCCATCGTAGTAGTATAGCAGACTGGAGTCCCTCATGAACCGGTCGTAATTGTAATTACTGGTGTCGCTGCTTTGCACCGTTTGGAGGCTGTCCTGCTGCCTGCTTAACCCATCCCCGCTCAAGCGATTCTCCTTAGTCTGCTTCTCGGACAGCACAACTGGCCGTTCGAGCAGGTTCGCGGCCAAGTGTTTGTAAACCGAGTTGATATTCTTCTGGTGCAAATGAAACATCGGGCTTTTCATATTTATCTTTGGATGGAAGGAAGGGATGAGTGCAGACCCTTTGTTCTCCTTCTTAATATTCACCAACGTCTTGAACAGGGCATTAACGTCGCTCTCCTTCTTGGCTGTCAACAGCCAGTACCCACACAACTCCCTTTTCTCATTGTACTCTGTAATTTCTACCCCATAAGGGTGGTTCCTTTTTTCCAATATTGTTATGTTCGTAATGTCAGGGTCGGAGAAGAGCTTCACGCTGACGTTGCTGATACTCACCACAGATTCGATGTCGTTGCTGAAATTGTTTAGCTCGTTTGGGGGGATGAAGTGGTTGTTGTGGCTAGACCCACTTTGGGGGGAATCCTCCCGCACAGGCAACTGGGAAGGTAAAGCGATTTTACGGTGGCTTCCATCCGCAGAAAAGGGACCCATGCAATTTTTTCCCACTCCACTCCCCACCGTATCTGCGTGAGTGTGCACACACAGATAAATGGACCGCAGAGAAACTGTCCTGACCTCCCACTTCTCATGTAAGGAGTCCTTCCGCCAAAACTGCTGCTCATAAGTTACCTCCATATTCATGTACAAGTCGGTGAACGGGAGAACGTGAAAATATCGCTGCTGCCTCCTCGCGTCTCCATCCACAGGCTCCACCCTCTCCTTATTGTATATCCTTTTCTGGAGGATGTGTTTAAAATGAGCAGGGTAGACAGAAATTTGGCTACTGCAATTGAACAGCTTTTCAAATTCCTTCTTAATAAGTGCAGAGGTATCACTGACCTTTTTTTTCGCTTCTAAAACTTCTTCTTTCATCGTTTCCACTAAAGAAGGTAAATGCTCCGACTTCATTTTGGAGTGAGGAATTTCTAGCTTCTTTTCCATGTCTATTAAATTGTCTTTTGAAAAAAATAAACACTTGTATGATTCTAATTTGTCCACATAGTAGTCTAGAGACAGTCCTGCATTGCGACCACTCAATTTAACCATGTGTTGAAGTTCATTTTTCTTCTTCTCTAAATAGCTGTGATAATTTATTCTCTGGTCGTCCATTTTTTTTAGAAACTGGGTGCTTTTGTCCTGTACCATTTTTAACTCTTCATGTAATTTTTTTTTTTTTTTTTCTAAGAATATATTTGTAATGGTGAAGGAAGCTCTTATGGACCTCTTCACATTTTTGTTCGTGATTTTTCCATACTTGTAAATGTTCCTGAGGGATGGGATTGTGTTTTTCAGGATTAGCGATTTCTTACACAAGACTTCTAGCTTCTCATTCAATTCTTGCTTTATTTCATTCTTTGCATCTACTAGGGTATATATTTCGTGACTCCCACGGAGTAGTTTGAATCCCGGTTTGAGCTGCATCAGATCGTTTTCATGGGTGGCGGTCTCCACATTTTTGTTTATACTGACGATGGTTTGGGTTGTTGGGGAGTGTCCGCCACTGCAGTGGGACCCATCTTGCCGCTTCTCCATTACGTTCTCCCCATCTACCTCATTCTGCACATGCAGAGGGTCATTCAGCAAGCAGTCCGTACATAGTAAAGTGTAGTGACATGTTTTGCAAGCATATTTGACATACTCATTTGTGTGCACAGAACATTTCTCTCTAATTTTAACTGGAATATTATTATCCATTTCAACTAGCCATTTGTCCTTTTCTTTCATGATCACTTCATTATAGGAGTAATCATTTTGGAACAAGCCACTACTAGCCACATTAACAATATGGTCCTGATTATTCTTGTGCAATTTAATACTGCACACTGCACACAGAAATATGTTACACGTTTTGCAAAACAGTGTTGAAATGTTAAGGAAACAATTCATGCATGTCCTGAATTCACCCACACAAGGAGCAGTGTGATTAATCTTCACGTGTCTCAAATAGTCGTTCAAGTTGTTTGCACTTTTGTTCGTGTAATGAATGTCATGTATATTGTCCATTATATTGTACTTTGTGTTTATTTCTCCTTTTCTACACGAAATAAAAACATTTTTTTCATGACTCAAATTGTGTATATCTTCTTTGTATTTCACAAAACAGCTCATGTCTTCTCTTTCGTTTAACTGCAGCGGGGGGTCACCATTTTCCTGTTCCTTTCCTTCATCTTGTTCCCACTTTTCACACTTTTTGTATGACCCATTTGTGCCTATATGGTTGATGATAAGATTTGCCCTCTCTTTCCTTTCCCTTCCAAAAAACTTGTCCTGCTCGTGCTGGGCTGCGCCACCCTTGCACTCGTTTGGCGCCACGAACAGGGGCTCGCGGATGACGATTTTGTCGTTCATAGGAGTGGCCTCTTCGCTGGGCAATTGTGCGCGATTGTATGCAAGTGTATACTTCTGTGCGCATACATGCGTGTTTGCACTAGTTCATGTAGCACTGCTCGCACTTATTGCGCTCACTGTTGTGTGTTATTCTTTTTCCCCTCTCTGCGGTCTATTCCTCACGCAGGCACCGCATGGAGCGTATCACACTCCAGACTGATTGTCTTTGCCACGCTCAACCCGCTTTATCAAATGCAAGTACGCCCTTCAAGAAATTGACAAGGAAACAATTTTTCTGCCACACAAAATGATACGTGTATGACGAGCAAAAAAATTTTAGCGTACCTCGCGTTGTCTCCTTTCTGTATGTATGCTTTCGCGTCTACCCATTTTTTCTTTCATACTGATGGAAAGTGAACATTTTGTCGATTCTTCCTTTTAGGGATTTTTTTTTTTCTTTTTTTGCAAGTATGCTGCGCAATTGTATTTTTTTTTTTTTTACCTGAATGTGCAAGGTGGAAAAAAAAAAAAAAAAAAAAAAAAAATCGCGAAAAACGGGAGAATTATTCTATTGCCGCGTGATTGCATGAACCGTTCATGCGAATATTATCCATTTGTGTATTTTTTTTTTTTTTTTTTTTTTTCGCCAAATGGCTAGCTGCTTTCCCTTTTACGATAACAAAATGAAAAGGAATACATTTGTTTTTTTTTTAAGCCAATTCGTATGCAAGTGCTTCCCTGAGGGGCGATGGGGAAATACTTCCCGCTTCGGATTTGCAAAAGACGCGCAGTTTCTATTCCAAGGGGAAGCAATATTAATAAGATCACGGTTGTTAAAAATGTGTGGTGGGTGAAAACTTGACATGTGTAGGCATATCTTAAAAGGGGGAAAAACAGGAAGAAAAAAAAAAAAAAAAAGTTCGGCGCGCCGTGTGAATTTCAAATAATTACGTTAAAAAGGATAAAAAAAAAACATAAAACATACATATACATACGCATGTGTGATACGTCGGCAAAATGCGCGCGCCGTAACACGCCACCTATTCTGGTGTCTGCTTTGCAAAAACCGAGCGTGCACACACGGGGAGACATTTTGCGCCAGGCCCATATGGAAAAGCACCCTGCACGGGTGCAAGGCACTCCCGCAACTTCTAGATACTACTTGCCCACGTCGAAGGTCAACGTTACGTGCTGCATATTCTTGATGTTTACGAGCACCGCCTTGGGAGTGATGTCGAAGCTCGGAAGGCATACCAGCAGGGGCAGGGTATTTTCACCGTGCATGTGCTGCACCTCGAGCTGCGCACAATTCCCGTTAACAAAAATGTGGGGGTATTTGTCATCGTCCTGTAAACAAAACGGGTCCTTCCCTATGAACGGATAACACCCAAGAGTGTCTGGGCAGGTAGGAGATAAAATACGACTCTTGGCAATCATTTTCAGAGCATCCAGTGGAGAATTTTTTGAATAAGAAACGATATTGTTAACAGGTTCACCGGACATACAACATACGTTTACATTATCGACGGAGAAAAGGTACGGGTTCGTTACGCACTGAAAGGAATTGTAACTTTTGGCAGTCTTAAAAAATAAGTTAGGAAATGGTTGTTGGGGTAGAATGGCATCAGTGGGGTCATTTTCACCAGGCATTAAATCCACGTACACAGCTGGACAGAGAGAAGCAAGAAACGCATCAACGGTTTTCATGTCTTTCTCGTCGTTATTAATATTTCGAAGACTGTTACCAATAATAACTACTCTGATTAGCTTCTCTGCTACATTTTTGTCTCCATATAATCCCAAAATGAAATCCTTCAATAGAGAGGTACTATGTGCATTTCCGTTTTGTTCCGTTATACACAGCCCCGACACGAACATGATATATTTGTCGTCATCACTAATGCACCTCGGAACTTGTAACTTTGGTACATACGCATAAATGAGCTCGTCCACATATAAAGAGCCATTGCTCATGGCCCTCCCTTTTATAATGACAGTCAGCCCAGTCACATAATGGTCGCTGTTTATATTTCCTTCCAACTTTAACCTTGCTGTTTCATCCTCCAGGAATAGGACATCTTCGTCATTCGAGTAATTTACCACCACGTCTTCCCCCTCATTAATTGCGCTGATGTATTCATTTAGGATGGAGGGCCTCAGATCCATTTTTTTGAACAACGTGCCTATGCAGTAGCAGTTTTCGTTCGTCTTAATTTCCTTTAGGTAGTGCAGCAGCGGATACTCGTCGTCACCGCCCCCTGCGTGACCCTTATGGTCCTCCTCACCTTCGCGCTTAACTCCATAGTCCAGCTCTAACTTTACCTTACCGTTTATCTGACCGTTTATGTGATCCTTGGCCCAACCGCTACCTGCGCCTAACCTCTCCACCGTCCTCACCAGCAGCCCCTTCATGGCCTTCGTCCTCGCGCTATAAATTTCGCAGTACTGCTGCGTGTAGGTCGCCTTGTCAATCAGGAACCCCTTGGAGTGGTTTTCATAATTGTAATGTTCCTTCTTAACCTTCTTTTGCAGGGGGGACTCGTGCTCATCCCCGAACTCGGGCTTCGCGCGCTTGATGGCGTCTTCGCTCATAGTGGGGCAAGGCTATTCACAAAGTAGAAACGTCTGCCGCCCTGGGGTCACACAAGTGCATGCCTGTGTGGGAACTATACTGTATATAGCTTATGGTCGTACGGACGTATTATCGTGCGAATGTGCAATCGTGCAAGCGTGTGAACGTAGTACACATTTGTGTCAGTGCACATGCAGGAATAAGCGCGCTTCACGTGGGCAGCACTTTGCGCGTTCAACTTTGTCGCTTTTCCTGGGAACCAAAAAAAAAAAAAAAAAAAAAAAAAA